CTAAACCTTTGGTATATTCGAATTACCAACTAGAGTTTTGAAAGATTTACGCACAATTCCTAATTGGCTAATTCTCACAGCATTTAGTCGACTAGGAACACATAAGTAACATTCGCGCACCATTGAAAATTAATTATGTTCTTTACAAAAAAAAATCTTAAGCTGAGAGAACATTTTGTAAAGTGATGATGAAAATGGATTTTTAATCACAAACGGTCCCCATTGATACTTATTCGCAAAAATTGGAGCCAAAGCCTCAACACATAATGATTAACACTTCACAAAGGCAAGTAGGCCAAGTCATTGTATGCCGGCAAGACGCCCCTTTACAAAGAGGATAGCATGAACATGCACAAGCACAAGCACAAGGCAAAGGTCCTCGTTAACAAGCATTCCATAATTATCATAATTCATACCAATGTTTTAAAATTGATAGAAAAATGTAAAATGTCAATTATTAAGAGGTTCGATTCAAGTTATACTCAAGGCAAATAATTACATAGCTTGACGTGTATCCAGATTCAATTTCAATAACAATTTTTTCCCCTTTCTCAAAATAATACAACTGGACAATCCGAACGATTCAATCAATTTGGACTTACTTGACACTTGCCGAGTTTCATCTCAAGTGTTTAAGATATACCAATTTTAGTTATAACCGGATTTGATTTCGAGTCCATTTCAACTTATCAAACCTATCCAATTAGTTCAGTTTTCAAAACATTGATGCATCCCTATCTCACTTGTACTAGAACAAACCTTAATTTTTTGGCCACCATGGAATTTTATGCTAAAAATTTGTCAAGTCACACTCTCATAGTCACACGAGTGGGTTATAAATCTCTTATCCTTGCAATATAAGATGATCAAACATGGGACCGAGTTTGCTATCCTAAAGTATCAACAAAAATACACACAAAAAAGAGGTCACATGGGTAACAAAACCAGCTGTGTCCAGCCCATTCAAACTGTTTACCCATAAAAAACAAGATAATTTGAGCAATGACGAAACCCATGGTTATGGTAGTGATAATTACCATCTAAAAGCATTTAATCATTGAGTAGCCTCTGGCTCAAATTATTCGAGGCAAGTTGATAATAAGTGGCATAAGGGTCCTTTCTTTATAGCTCTAGGCTCGTAAACCGTACGAAGCAAAAGGCATGGGGAAGAGAAAGTAGTCACGTCACGATTGTTTGAATATTCAACGCTAGGGTCAAATATTCGAGTTTGATTTTATATTATGTTTGGCTGTTTAAGTCACAATGCAATAGTTTTTCTCCAACCTTTGCCATTGTTAACAACCCAACATCACCCAGGAGAGATGCAAATAGAAAGGAATGAAAAATTAGAGTGCATTTAACAGGCACAGGACGTGGAGGTCAAGCCTCAAAGTCTTCCGAGCTTAAATGTGCCAAGGCATAATAAAGTAATTTCCTATTTTTTAATATTATTTTAATTATTATAGACCAATAAAAAAAAAAATAATGTATCCCATGCAAATTTATGAGAACTTTATAACATAATTTTCAAGTTTCGAACAAAAACAAACATAATTCTCAAAATCATAAATACTCCCAATCAATAATGCTTTGTTCATGTACAAAAAAGCTATGTAGGTGGGCTTGTATTGGACGAAGGTGGAATTTTTGTTTTAACTTATTTTCTTTTGATTGAAAATTTTGTTAGACTGAACTTCAGTGTAAAGTTGACCACCTTTTTTCTTGTCGTTTTCTCCGTGCCTCGTGCCTATGCGGGCCTTTTAACAATATTACAGAAGTCTAGTTAGAAGCAGGGAAAAACTTATAGTACTCCCGCTACTAAGCATGCCATTGCCATTGCCATCAGTGAACTAGTGACATAATTCAATCCTAAGTCCACGAGATGCTACAAGAAAGGATAAAGGTTGAGTAGAATATAGTGGATCAGAACGGCAACTCCATCATCTTACGTTCACTTGGGCTCAATACAAATTTCTCCTTTCTTCATCAAACAATAGAATTTTCGAAAAGAACCATCAATTCCCAGTAGATTTAATATACATTTACATGATGGTACTTACTAAGAATTAAGAAAACAGGTTCACAAAAGATTCAATTTGTCAGAATTTTAGCCGGCACACCTGGATATGCAGCTCCTCAATAAAGCATTTCTCTATATTCTCTTTTCCTATAGAGCCTCGAGTGATATTATTTCCAACACAAAGTGCAACTCTACGTCAATAACAATTGATACAGACTTAAAGAGGTTACGTAAGTCGTGCATGGTTTTTGGATTTTCCTTCAAGTCACCTAATTACAATTGGAAAACGTTGAAACTGTTCGAGAGGCTGACCTGTTGCCTTATTTACTCAAAGCCCAATTATCCAAATGCCGATCATTTGACTCCAGCCACTACATTCTTCCAACCGGTGATGGGGGTGGGCATGTCACATACTTCGCTGGAAATTGCTCTTGGACTCGGGTTGGGACCATTGCTTCCCGTAAATGCTCTTCTTGCGGTTGAATATTCATGTCCAAGATGTCAGAAAATTTCTGACACGTTATGACTGCTACGCATGTAGAAAATGTCTCTAACAAAGAAATTGACGCATCGAATTTGACAGAGTAAAGTCCATTTTCCAACGGTTTCAAGCTGAACACAGACTTGCTCTCTCGTGCTCCGTTCTGTTAAGAAGCATCGATAAAATAAATTTATATTTTGAAGTTTCAGTAAAAAAGAGGTAAACTAGTACATACTGAAGTTAAAAAACAGTACCTGGAGATAAAGTTTCACATGATCAATTGCAGAGCTGGGCATGGATGCTTCAAGAATTTTGCTGTTTTTCTTACGGTTGGTAAGAATTCGAAGCTTGCAACCGACATCCCACCCTCCACAATCACACGATCCACCAGATTCCCATCGGTTTATTAACGATGAAGGCGCACCTTTGATTGGTATGCCATGACAACCACTAGGAAGAATGACTACTGTGCTATTAGAGTTTCCATCATCTTCGGGGTCATAACTAACCCCTGATGAACAATGTGTAAATTCACTCTTCATACGCTGTCTGCTACTGTCACTTAAATTCACATCATTAAGCTTCTCAATTGAGTTCTTAACAACAATGGCTGCAATCTCCCTGTTCAGCAAATATTCCTGGGTTTGGTTATCCACCTGCCCCGGATCAACACTATACAATACACATTCTCTTAAGACACATCTAATAGAGCCCTTCATATTTATTCCCTGAAGACAGGAGCTTGAAATCTTCATCTGACCTATCATATTATAGCCAAGGCTGCAACTTTTACTTTTAGACCGCTGATTTATCCAGTTCACACTCTTTTTTCTAATCTCTTGGCCTGAGTAGAATGCATAAATTATGCTGTAATCACTCTTTCGAGATGATGGCAAACCCTCAATAACTGCAGCTAGCACATCGCTGCTGTTTTCAACCACAAGTTTGAAAAATGGAAGTCCGTTCTTCAACGTAAGCTGCAAAAAGGCCTGCAAAGTTGAAGTCTCAGCTTTCCTATCTCGAACAGGTCCACAGACAGTCGCTTGCATCATAGACTGTGAGCTTCCATCTGGTGAACGAACAGTCTCAGAAGAGTGAGCTCCTTTGTACTTTAGCCATGGGTCTAGTAATCTCCGTAAAGGGCTGGACCTCCCTCTGCCACTAGCATTTGACTTGTCTCTATCACATTTATCTGTACCACCAGATAAAACCTCACGCCTCACCGAGCATGACTCGGTAGCAGTATATGTAGAACTCAATTGTGAAGCCTCAGAGCTCTCCTTGAAACTAAAGCTCCTACCGATCCTCCTCCCAAAGCTGAAGCTGAATCGGCGATTAGGAGAGGAATGTCTTCCTTTCACAGCTGGCTGTTCAGCTATGTCCCCATCTGTTCTCCTGGAATCCTCGACTGAGTCTGAAAATGAATGTCTAATTGATTTTTCTTTCACTTTTGAACGTTTTGCTTCAGATGGTATGGGCGTGACAGCCATCTTACCCGGACACACACTTGTACAAGCATCCAAGTTCATAGGCTGAAAAGTAACCTGGTTATGTGGTTCCATGCTAGATTTGTCTTCATCTATGACACCAACATGAAGGGGACATGAATGTGGAATATCAGCAGAGAATTCTCCAGAGTAGAGTCCTTGAGGAGAAAAGCTATCAGAAAATCTGTTACCGTTTGCTTCCGCTAATTGTCCATCAAATAATGTCCTAGATCCTGTCAATTGTCCATCAAATGGTGCCCTGAATTTAATAAACTGAGAACTCCCCAAGTAACTCCCCTTTGGGAAATGTTTTGGTACTAGGTGTACGTTGTTCAGTGCGTCTACAGGGTGATATTGGTCAGCAAGGTTGACCTCATCTTCTACTCCTGTCTTACCCTTTTCCCCATCAGAAGTGATTGTCTCACACAAAGACGGTGAGACCTTATTTTTACCCTGGTCTAAGGGCAAAGTTCCCTTTTCCAATTGTCTCCCTTCGTCTGAATCTTTCTTCTCGCCATTGCCCATATATCTCCTCCCACCATTAGATTCAATTGTCTCGGAGAAATTGTCTTGCAGCCCATCAACAGTTCTGCTACTTCGTGCTGCTTGAACTTCTTCAATACACGTGCTCTTTCCTTTGTACCGTTTGACACCTTCATTCTTTTCTCCTTTTTGAGACAAGTTATCATGTGAAATGTTTGCTGGGGGCTGTTTATTATGAGGCAATGGATTAAAATGCAAACTATGTGATGAAAATTGTTCTCCTTTGTAGAGTGAATCGGGATTCAAACCATGTGATAACGGTAGTTTTCCCAGATTTGAATGAGTTCCTCTTGGCATTAACACTGAACTACTCAATGATGGTGACTTTTTCGTTTGTCCCTTTGTACGCATGTGTTCATTGTACTTCCATTTCTCCAGACGCTTCCAATCAAGAACTCCAAAGTTCAACGCCTTCTCTTGAATACTTTTCTCCTTCTCCACTTGCTGCAGAAATTCCGGTAAATTTGACATATGCTTGACAAGTTCATCATCTTTACATGTCTTACTCCCAGATCGTGAACTTTCTTTATTCTCTGAAGAATTAGATTGGATCTCATGCTCAATACTTGTACCCCGTCTCAATTCACAATGTCGATCAATGTATGGGTTGCCAAATGGTTGTTGAACCTTATATTTGTCCTGAAACTGTAAACTCTTATCTGCTGACGGCAATGGAGCCTCCGCTTTGACAACATCTGAGATTTGTAGTTGCATTGAACTCCTCTTCTCTAAACTGTGGCCCATGTCCATAGCTGTTTTCTACACATTCAGGACCTAAATTTATGATAGATAACATGGCATTACATCTCCACTCATTTTTTAATGTCTGATTTTCTTCCTGCAGATCAATTTAACAAGGTAATCAGTAATTAAAAATTCAAAACTTTTCCACGGTACAAAAACTGGATTTGAAAACTATTAACTGGACAAGAATGCAAAGTTTTTAAAACATCGTGTAAGAACAAGCCCCCCAAGAAAATGGGAAATCGACTTATTACAGTTTTGATACAATAAATGCCAAAGGTATGTTTCGCGCTCTATTTATCAATAACAAAGTACTGAATATTAGTCCAATCAGAGCATTTTAACAGATAAAATTTAAACAGCTGGTATTACAATTAGAGATGGCCCGGAAAAAACTCAAAACTAAATCAGAAACGCTGCCTTTCATACACTAGCTTTGCAAGGAATTTCCATTTTACTTGCATTCCGAAAAGGAAGAAACGATATCCTTTTATCGTACTGAATAAAAAGCATCTAGGTAAAAAAACTAACGCCACAAAACTTCTCCCAATTTAAAGATCCTAAAGGTAAATGAAAAACTATTAAGTTGTTTGCAAAGCTAATTAGCTAATAACACATCTATAGAACCTAGTCGACCCAAAATACCAATGAAAAACATACTGCTGCTTCACAATTAGGACCAGTTGACTAGATTTTGATCATTTACATGCAAGTTACACATTTACATACCAAAATATGAAAGCCTCAGGAGAAATTTCCGGAGGATGTTCTTATTTTTTTAATTTACAAACAGGTATTGCATAAGAATCAAAGGGCAAACCACGAAAGAATAAACGTATTAGCAAAGCTTCCAGCAACAGATCGAATATAGATTACAATTGAAAGAGAGATTTCCATTGAACACTCCAAGAATCAGATAAAACCAAAATCTTGAATTCTAATATTTCTCCAAGATTATAAATCAAGCGGTCAGGATTTGCACCCGAACCAATAGATCCAAAGCGACTAAAGCTAAAATATATTAAAATGCACCGAAATGTACATCAAACAACACAATAAATAAAGAACAAACACTCAAGATAGCTCAAGAAAAGAAAGAACTTCAACTAAAAGCATCACCGCTACTTGTATTAAATCTGTAACCAATTTTCAACACATCCCATAAGATAGTTCAAGAAATGAAAATCCATGGCAGAAATCCAGCGAACCCAGTAATTTACCAACCAAAAGAGAATAGAAAATTACACTACAACAATAAATAAATGACTATAAATTCTAAAGATAAAATCAATAGCACGTGACAAGGTTAAATAGATTCAAGAAAATGCAAATCCATGGAAGAGACGAGACATCGAGTAAACTCAGTAATTTTCCAATTAGAAGAAGCAAAAAAGAAAATTAAACCGGAACAATAAATAAATGTACTTACACTAAACGCAAAGAAAGGAATAGCAGAGTCAGATGAAAAGCAAGAAATCTTCTTAGAATTGCAGGAAGCGTATTGTTCGATGCTGGAGATGAAAGAAAAAGCATGCGAATGAGATACAGGTACAGAGCATGGATAAAATACACAATATATACATATAGAGAGAGAAACCTCGAGGAATGCGCTTGCTACTAGGGAGTGAAAGTGTTATTAGAGAGAGAAAATTAGGCGTTTTGCTTTATATTAAAGAATCGGACGGTTATAATTGAAGGTAGAATGCGATAGGTTGTAACGTCATCAAGTAGCGAGGTGCTTAAGGGCCAATGGGCTAGGGAAAGTGGACCCTATTGCAAACCATACCCGATTATTATTATTATTATTATTATTATTATTATTATTTTTCAATACTTCTCTTGGTTAATTAGAATATATGAAAAACGAGACAATTAGTTAAAATGTTTAAGTGCCATCTTATCTTATAGTAGAATAACATATTAATATAAGTGTGTTTGATTGATCTTATTTTTCATGAAAAATGTTATTTTTTCATCCAAATTTTTATTTTTGAGGTGTTTGATTGACAATTTTTTTTCATAAAAAATATTTTTCAATTTTTGGTCACGTGATCATATTTTTCTAAAAAATAAGGAAAATATTTTCATTAGAGAGGTGATTTTTATTTTCCAGGTAATTCACTCTCTCTTTCTCTCTCTTATTTGTCCGCTTTTTTTCATCTACTCATCAATAAAAAATAGACAAATATAATATTTTCTATGTTAAAAACTAAATTAGTCAAATACATTTAATTATTAATTTTTATACAAATAAATTATAGACAATTAAATTACCTAAAATTTATTTTCTTTTCATACAAATTTCATGCTTATAATAAAAAACTGATGACGAGATATCATATCGATTGGTGGTGGGTGAAATGTCACGTCAAATGTTCTATTACGTTTTTGTCCAGGGTCGGTGGCCGTAAAATTTTCAAAACACAGTTTGAATAGTATTTTTATGAGAATGTGTTATTAAAAATTAGGATAAGAAAAAATAATGAACTTGCGTATAAAATATTTTATTGTATAAATGTGTAATTGAAAATGATCTCATAACAAAAATTAAAATAAATTAAATGACTTCAAACAAGGGCTTTCTTGCAAGTAATCCATAATGTTTATATTGGTTTGTGGTCGACTTGACTTGTATTGTGAAGTCGCTGCTAGAATTTTGTAATTATTGTGTATGGTTGACTCGTCATATTTCATATTTCATATTTCACCACGTGGACCTCATAAAATATTGAGACAATAGTATTTCTCGAACTTTTAAATCCTAAGCTTATAGTAATTCCAATTAGCACGTGATAATGTGATGTGGCCTAAAAGTTAATCTTTCAAATGTTCTTTGAAAATTTTTTGGATTAACCTAGTGGTACATTAGGGGATCCATAATGGTGTCCAAAATGGACACATGGATCCCCTCTATTGGAGGGGCGACCCATAGCATGGCCCAATTTTTTTTTAATGTTTTGTCGTCTAAATGTCAAATGATACACACGTTAAATTATACAAACCACATCTTTTCAAATGTTCTTTGAATTTTGTTTAGCATCCAGATAATTTTTTTTTAAAAATGTTTGGCCATCTAAATGTCAAATGATATAAATGTTAAATTATACAAACCACAAGTTTCTAAATTTTAATAATCCATTATCAAATTTATTTTATTAACAATGAATATAATATTTTCGAGAACACATCTTAAACTAAAAAAAATAAAAAATAAAAAAATGAACAAAAGAATTCATTTGGTATGGTACCTTAAAGTTACATTGAATTAGACTAAACAAGAATCTATGAAAATAAAATTGACAGCCATTTTTTTATTCTCATAAAGAATGAGTTTTTGAATAGTAATTTTTTGAAAAATATAAACTTAAAAAGTAGGGAAAGTTTTAGATTTACATGAAAAATATATTATCGTGAGAATTTGTGGTTGAAAATGAGTATGATAATTTTTTATTTTTTATTTTTTTTGAAAGAATAATTATCGAACAGGGACTAAGATGGATAACATTTATGAATTTTTCAGATAAAAGAATGTGGTTTGCAATATCTTTATTGTTGGGAATCTACTTATACGTGTACAGCGAAAAATTAAAATTATTTCGATTTCCATCGAGAATTCCTTTGTGTTTAGATAGAAATTGAGATAAAGATTGTACCTTTGACGAATTCTACAAACATTTTGCTTTTTTTTTTCGTTCCAGCAATCTTGATTCGCCACCCACAGCTGTCCAATTGTCTAGCCTCCAATGATGATCCACACAGAAAATAAGATTGCAGTTACCATGGTTTTTCCTCTTGTGCCAGTAAGAATAATGAAAACCATATGGATCTTAAACTCTAACTATGTATTTATATAAACCCAAACAACTCGGCTCGGTCCGGTCCAATATTTAATTAATCTATTTAATAAAATTCGGTCCGTGAATTAATTAATTCGGGGCTATAAATAATCAATCCAATTAATTAATTTTATCCAACGATTGGATGAATTAATTAATTGGCAATTTGCAATCTTTCAATTCTCTTTTGTGTGCGACCCATCAGGTTCTCGATAAACTAAAACACCTTTTTAATTTATCGTCAATTCACACTCGCCGTCCCAAATTGACATCTAGCAATGTGTCGGGGCAATACATGTGATGGGAAATGTCATGTGGTGTGACAAAATCAAACTCATTCGTTTAACTATAATCCCTTCGTCAATATGATCCAATCAATTACGAGATATGAAAGTGTGTCGATCTCAATCATTGATCATATCTTTCACTCCACTATTAAGTCAATATAAGTCGAAAACTCATTTTCGACTTATGAGTACACCTTGGCCAAGAATTTCACCATCGACTTAATTGAATGAAACGCAGATCATAATCTCTTACCATCTAAGAGTGACAAATCATTTATTGATCAATCACAACCTTCATACGATTCTTGACGTACCCGAACGATGTCGTATTAGCGGCCCTTTGTAGAGCAACATCCAACACCGCCAAAGTATGACTGTCCTCATACAAAGTACCATGACGACCTCAAGTCAAATGACCAATTCCACTACCGAACGCTAGAGATTAACCACTGACACTCAGATAGTTATCCATGTGGAATCTCTCGACGGGTCTCCAATATTTTGTTATATAACAAAATATCCACGTATTCATTTAAGTGTCACCATACTTTAGCTTGTGAGATCAGTTACTTATTTCACAAGTAAGAAATGCCACACGTGATGGTCTATCCGTAATAACGATATTCGTATTTCGTTATTACTTACGACCACGGACGATTTAAGATTCAATCAGATGTAATTTGTATCTTACAATCATAACTCCTTGTGATTAACAAATTACGAAGATTTGAATCTACGGACTATTTTATTTAATTAATAGACAATTAATTAAATAATAGATCTGCCATTAAACTGCATTAATTATATATCAAAAGTATTTATGTCCAAAGTTGATTGGACCTAGGGCATAATACTTACAAACTCCCACTTGCACTAGATCCAATCACTTATGTATCCAATATCAAAAGTTTACATGACGATCATGTTTACGCTACGACAACTCTTTGTCAGTGGATCTGCAATATTATTAAATGTGGGAATTTGTTCTTCTCTTTACGTCATTTCTATGTATTATCTCTCTGATAAGATTATACCGCTTTAATAAATGTTTGGATCATTGATGAGACCTTAGTTCCTTTGCTTTCACAATGACTCTATTGTTATCACAATACAATGGCATGTGATCAACAATATCAGGAACTACTCCAAGTTCATTTATGAACATCATGATCCAGATTGTAACTCTTTGCTACTTCTGAAGTAATCATGTATTAGGTTTCTACTATTGAATCAACGGTTGCTTCACATTTGGAACCTTTCCAACACACCGTTTAAGAGTAAACCAATTTCTTCATATAAAATCTTCTCAATATTTTATATAGATTGGGACAAGTTAATCAACCTTCTAGATTTATCTCTATAGATCAAGTTGCTTCTCCAATATCATTCGAGAATAAATCCTTTAACAACCATTATTTCAACGATTGAAACGTAGGGATGTTATTTTTCTATAATATTAGGAATACGACAATGCTCCCACCATCTTCTTGTAAACACACAATTCGTTCAAACACTTTGACTTTTCCATCAAATCGAAGATATCAGCTCCAAGAAGCTTCTCTTAACCTATAGTCACGGTATGCAACTGTTGCAAGCAAAACCCGAATGGATTTTAGCAAGGCTACAGGAGAAATGTTTCACTAAGGTCAACACTTAACCTTTGCTTCTAGCCTTGCTTCGTATATATGGATATTCCCATCCATATCGACCTTTTCTTTGTAAATTATTTACAAAAACTTATGAGTTTTATTCTATCAGGAGGCTTGACCAAGGTCTAAACCTTGTTCACATACGTCGAGTTCATCTCGAGTTTCATGGCCTCTTGTTGTCTCTTTTAAGTCAACACTTGACTTTATTTTTGTTGTAGCTAGCAGGTTCATTATCCTGGATCAGTAATACCTGATTAGTAATCATGGATTCACACCTTCTTGAAGGTCGAATGATCCTACTAGATTCACATAGAGCTGACATGTCCCCAGGAATCTTTACTTCCCGATCAAGAGTATGTCCCATGTCAGATATGGGATCAAACTTGGATTTATCTACTTGATTAACTATATCTGTGAACTTTTGAACTCTTTCAAGTTCTATTTTGCTCCCACTATCCTTTCCTAGAGTAAACATTTTCTCTAAAAAGACGATATGTCGTGAGACGAAAACTTTCTTCATGATAATAGAATTTATATTCAAATATCTCCTTTGAATATCCCCACAAATACGTATTTATCAGATTTAGTGTCAAATTTATCTGATTCAAGGCGCTTCAAATAAGCGTCATGGCCCCAACTTTCATATAAGATAAATTGGGACTATTATTTTTCCATAACTCGTATGGAGTTCTGTTAATCAATTTAGATGAGACATGATTTAATGTGTTGCACATTGCAATCAATGCATGACCCCAAAACAATTTTGGGAGATTTGTATGGCTTGTTATTAATCGCATTATTTCTAATAGTTAACGATTCATCCTTTTAGATACACCACTATGCTACAGTGTTTGTGGAGGAGTCCACTGCAAGAGAATCTCATTCTCTCTTAGATAATTTAGATTTTA